AACATCCATATTGCTTTCTAGAGAGGATGGAGTAGTCAACATTTCTCCAGCAGTGCATGAAGGCCCCTTTTTCTCCTCATCCTTTCCAGCACGTATTGCTTCTGTTTTTTTTTTTTTTTTTTTGATATGGGCCATTCTTGAAGAATTGAGATGGTATCTTATTATGGTTTTGATTTGTTTTTCCCTAAGAATAAGTGATGATGAGCATTTTTCATGTGCCCGTTGGCCATCTGTATGTCTTCTTTGGAGAGTGCCTATTTAACTCTTCTGCCCATTATTTTATTGGGCTCATTGTTTTTTTGAATTGTATGAATTCTTTGTAGATATTGGATATCAGCCCTTTGTCAGATGATGCACAAATATTTTCTCACATTCAGATGGCTGGCTTTTTGTTTTACCGATAGCTTCTTTCATTGTGCAGAAGCTTTTTAGTTTGATCTAACCCCTTTTATTTCTCTTGTAGTAGGAGACAAGTCCACAAAGATCACAAAAGTCAATGTCATAGAGTGTTTTGCCTATGTTTTCTTTAATGTATTTTATGGTTTTGGTCTTAAATCCAAGTAACCAATCATGCCACACATTTACTGAGTATCAAAGATCGCAATACATATGCCAAAAGCTAGAGACAAAACTAATTACTAGGGATTCAAATATGAAAGTGATATAGTTCCTGTTTTCAGGGACTTTACAGTTGTAAGGGGAATATATTTATAAATATATATAAATATATATATTTATATATATGGCTTAAAAGCAATGCATCTATACTAGAGTTATCAAAGAAGGCTGAAAGAATGTGTGCTTAACCTGAAGCTTAGAAAAGCAGTTAGCAGGGCAAGGTCTGGAAGGAGCCATACACGGATGAGAGAGATGAGACAGCTTGGTGAATATACAGGGCAAGTTTATTCAGGATGACTGTATTACAGGATTGGATCATAGAATTGGGGGCATATGGAATAGATGGGTCTGGAGAGGTACACAGGGGTCAAGGTCCGGAAGGGCCTCATCCATGAAATCATGTGCAGTTGAACTTTCTCATATTGGTAAGCTACAAGTGATGAGAGTAATTAGTTGCAGTACAAGTAGGGGTAGGAAGAACTGATTAAGAACAGGATTTCTCAGCCTCGGTGCTGTTGACATTTTGGGCCAGATATTTATGTGCACGTAGGGGGCAGTTTTCCTGTGCTTTGTAGGCTGTTTAAGCAGCATCCTTGGACTACCTGCTAGATGACCAGTAGCAAGTCCCTCTCCACTCAGGGGAACCAAATATGTCCAAGATATTACCAAATGTCTCCCATGGTGCAAAATTGCCCCTGATTGAGACCTACTGACAAACTCATGGGAAGGTAGAAAAGAGGTTTGTTTTTGGACGCGTTTGAGATACTTATGGGATATATTAATGGAGTGGCCCAAGATACAGTTGGATAGATGGGTCTGTGCTCAGAAGAACCACCTCAGTCGGAGATACATAGTTGGAAATTATTTGCACATAGATGAGAAAAAACATCACAGGAATGGCTGAAGATCACTGAGAGAGATCTGTGGAGCTAGAAGAGTACTAGACAGGAACTCTAGAGAAAACCTACAGTTTGGGGTGGAGAGTATTAAATCACCATTCTAATTCTCTGCAATGAAAGCAAAGATAAAAGAGAAGCCATGTAGCATGTACTTTTTAATCAGTAATGAAGTTCTTGATATTCTCTATTACCCAAGTGGAAGTAAAAATTTAAAAATAAATGAATGAGGGGGTGGAATGTGAAAATGTGTATGACATGGTTAGTTTTCTTATTACAAAGAGTTTTAAGTGAATCGTTTTTTTTTAAATTTATTTTCTCTCTCCTCTCAAAACTGGGGGAAAAACCTCTTAAGGAGCTTTATAGTTACATTATGGTGAGTGAAACCTAGTCTACAGGGCTGAATTGAAAAATCCATCATGCATTTATTAGCAGTGTTGTTTCACTACCTTGTCATCAGTGTTCAAATACAGTTCTGCAACTGAAGGCTCAGGGGAAATACAGAAGCTTTTTATACAGACATGTTCGTTAGCTTTTGATAAGGCTCTAGAGTGATAATTCTTGGAGAAATAAAATGTCATAAAGCAATGGACAAAAAGAGCTTATGGGATATAAAGCAAATCCAGTAACAGGAAATAGTATCACTTTTGGCAGGAAGGTGAGATGAAGAGGAAGATAATTTCCTGCAGGTGACAAGATTTCCATAGAGTCACAAAGCTAATTGCCTACAATGCCAATTATGATGCGAAGTCTTAGACTAGGGCACTAGCTTCCTGTCAGAATGGAACACAGTACTGAAAAGAAGGCCAGATGCTTTGGGTAAGTGATTACCTGACTGTAAGTTAAATGTCCTTGTGAGAATGCTCATTCTTAAGCTCAAAATGTATTTGAGAGGCCCACTCCCAAATAACACTATGTATCTTCCAAAGGGCCTGACAACCAAGCTGCAGACCTATTCTAACTGCATCTTTTGCACAGAGGTTCTGTGTATATAAAGACAAACCAAATAAAGTTTTGAAATAATTTCCCCATCTTACTCATTAGAGTGTGTACTTGCCATTTTTCTTTGCCACACAGAACCCCTTGTGCCCAATTCTAAGGGCACACTGGTCTGCCTTCCTAGTTCCAACCCCTGCTGCCTTTCCAGCAACCTTCTCTCTCCCTCCCCTCACCAACATTAGAAAAGAAGTTAACAAATGGTTCTAATTACCACAGTGGTTTGAGGCTTCTCAACTTTTTTTTCCCTTCCAGCTGTAAAGATGTCCTCAAACTGAGCTTCACGTTCAGAACTGCTGTCAAATTCTCACTTTAATGGGCACTTAAATTTAATGTCAAGCTGATGCTTGTGGAAGACCTTGATTAAATTTGCAAACAGTAGACTCTAACCAAACTGGAACTTGAGAGTTGTCTCATTTTGCCTTTCAAGCTCAAATCCCAGAAGTTTTCTTTTCTGTGCAAAGAATTACAGACGTTTGCTTGCAAAGACCCCAAATATCAGTAAGACAGCAAAGTGTAATAAGCAAAACACTCAGAATGCTTTTGCATAGAGAAAAAAATCCCCAGCTTATTAAAATTCTGTATAAATTGAAGATCTTTCCCATTGCCTTATTTTGCTCCCTTTCAATCAAAATCTATAAGATTATATTATTATAAGCCATCCTAAAAAAGTTTGCTTAAAGTCTTCTTAGTGTTCTTTTTACACAGTGGAATTAGGAGTTTGATATTGTACAGGCAGAATGAAAAACATTAAGGAGAAACAACATAAAAGAAATGACAATTCCACTAACAATGTCATTGCTTCAACCAGTTACACATCTCCAACCTAGTCTCTTTCCTTTGTTCCTTCTTTTGTCTCTGAGAATCATATATCCTTCCCTCCTTGAAGAGGTAATAAAAGGCTAGAAGTTAGAAGATCTGGAAGACTCATATCTTTTTCATTGGCTACTGTTTTGAACAGAGGCTGCTGGCTTTTGATATTTCTTTTGGGCTCTATTCACATCATCCAATTCAAATAGGTTTACTTTCAAAGAAAAGAAATCAAAATTGTCAAGACCTGTGAAGCATGAAAAATAAATTGCTTTTTCCAACTCCAAAAAGCACCAGAAACGCATTAATTTCTATCTTCTTATATAAACCTCTAACCCCTTATCCTCTAATCTATAGACTTCACAAAATATTTGTATTTTCTTCTGTATAATACATGACAGGAGATCAAACCTTATTACAAAGAAATGGAACTTGTAATACAACTAATATTTAAACTAGTGTTACTTTGGAGTTTGATTTGACTAGACACATAAAAAACATTCAGGTAGAGTAACAAATTCTTGGGGCTGTCAGTATAAAATAGTCAACTAAGACACATCTACTGTGTTGTTAATGGCTTTGTTCTTTTAGCTAGTGGGAGAGCAGACTTCATAAAAGAAGGAGAACATGAGGCAATAGAAAAAGATAGCCTTGCAAAATGTTGCTAGATATGAAATATCCTGTCATAAGATTTTTCATTGAACTACAGCAGTGAGACGACTTCTAATATTTCCCTTCTTTTAATACAAAAGAGACCTACATTTCTATGCTTGGTTTTCCAAAGCTATCTTAATTTTGTGGTTAAAACAGCCCAAAGTAACACTTGTTCTTAACATGTGAAATAAAAGACTTGGGATTTTGCAGTGGGTAAAGGTAGGCAGTCATCAGGTTCCTGTTGAGATCAATGATAAAAGGAATAGCAGATGGTTTCAGAAGGGAGAGCTTTACAGGGGTAATTTGTATTAGGATAATACTATTTTAGGAATTAGGTAATAGTAATTTGCAAAGACAAGTAGAAGTTCGGCTACTATCTCATTTAATTATATGCTACT